AAAAAAANAAAAAAAAAAAAAAAAAGGAAAGTGTTCAAAATGCTCAAAATGCTGATGCCAACATATTCCACTGGGAATTGTAAAAAAAGGCTGACGAAATCAGTTGGAAAAAAAAATTGGGTGGATGATAGTGAAACGTTGATTGATGATAAGTAACAATTTCAGTGTCATTTGAACTATTTCCGTAGAGGCCTTAGTTTTCTTTTAGTCTCTTCTACTGTAAAAGATCCAAGAAAACAAATGAATTCCCTTCTACTGTAAAAGACCCAAGAAAACAAATGAATTCCCTTCTACTGTAAAAGACCCAAGAAAACAAATGAATTAGACTGCCTGATCCTTCTGTTATCTTCTCCAGTTCTATCTTAAAATTTTGAATCGCTTTTTTTGGGAGCAGTTTTGTAGACCATTTACACTTTTCCCGGTGCATTTTTTTTCGAATAATTATTTTTGCTAAAATAAAGATATTCGTTACACATTTTTGCTTTCCTCAAAGTAATGCCTATCCTGTGATCTATAATCGATAACATCGCTTCATTTGGCCTTATTTCTGATTTTTATTCAATAGCTAATATTTACTCTGTTTTTCAAACATTCACACCACAAATAGCTTAGCAAACATTTTGGAGGAATTTCCAACAAATTGTAAAATTACAATAGTTTTTATGCGAACTTTTTATATAAATCTGAAATAGTATATTTGGGACGAGAAATCAGGTTTCAAGCATATTAGCACTCCAGTTTGAGCTTTAAAATGTCTCGATTTGTCCGGTTCATAGTAATCTATGGGAAAAAAAACCTGGGATATACTATCAGCAGTAGGAACTAAATTGAATGGTTGACATAAATGTTATAGGTGTATTGTGGGAGATTTATGTTTGATCATGACAGTATACAGCCAATGATTCCCAAAATGACCAGACATTTCGAGCTGCATACCAGAATTCTATCAAAAACTTACATAAGCGAAAGAACTGAATATATTGCTTGAATCAGGCAGTTATACTTGACCAGAATATTTCTCATATATGTATCTGTATGTAATAAATTAATACATATTTGCATGCAATCTGTATCAGTTCATTTTTCATTAATTAACCTGCTTCAGGTAACAAAAATGCAAGCTGAAAATCAATTATACGTAAAAAATTTTGCAAGATTTGATTACGATATTGTTATTTACATGTAACTCGATAATTCGATTTTGCTGATCGTTCATAACACAATTTCGAGCATCTAAATGAAATGAACTCCAAGGAAATCTGATTTGGTCCAATGTCATGGTTTAGATATTAGATACGGTCAGGAAAATACAACTGATATGTATCTCATCTTCTACACTTGGCAATTAGATAATTAAATGGATAGTTAGTTTTAGGAAGTCAATGCAAGCAAGAACTATCCGGTACACTATCGATATCTGATAACGTTCCCTGATAATTTTTGATGATTAAAAAAAGTGTTGGACGGTCGTTTGATCGTTAATCATTAAATAATATCATTTGTCCAATCACTTAGATCAGTTAGCCTATCAATCTTGTCGCATAATTTGGATTTACAAATACTTCACTTCTATTTTGTAAAGCTTCAATTGTAAAGCTTCAAATGAAAACTTACCAATTAACTTTATGAATTTAATATATCTGCCACTAATAGATAAATATTATTCCAATAAAATATTACATTACTGTTATGCCCGACAAAATTTTAAAATCGATTTCAAGTGTCATACCTTATTATATATATTTAT